AAAAAAAAGCCAAAACTTCTCATCACAAATCCTTATCCAAGCAATCTACAGAAGTAAATAAAACAAAACAAAACAAAAAATGAACACTGAAAAGAATTCCTTCAAATGCGGCCATTCAAATTACGAATCAAATAAATCAAATTAGACGCACAATAACACTAACCTTTGTGCATCATTTTCTGTTCAAATAACTTTGGTACTTCATACTTAACTATAAAAGAAAATTTTTGATCACTAAGAGCAATTACTGTTACAACTAACACACAAATTCAGATATATTATAGAAAAAAAAAAACAAAAACTTTTTTTTTGCAAGGTATAAAAGTTTACCCAATTATATGACTTAAAAATAACGGTTTATTTATCATTAAAATTTCAGCCACAAATAACCGCTCGCAAATACCAGAGGAATTGAAAAAACCGTTGTATACGTGACATATTTTTTCAGTTTTTTTTTTTTCTACCGCCAAATGAAAGCCGTTGCCTCATCGACAAAAATAAAAAGCATAGTTTATCAACAAAAAGAAAAGAGAAGGAAAAAAAGGAATAAAAAAATTTGCACCATAACAAACATTCTTATGCTAAAGCATTTTGATACCATTCCAGTAAATGCCCTAAACACTGATATATCCTGTCAGAGCAGAAGCCAGAATCAGTTTTCTATTACTGCTGCAAATTCAGTTCTTATCATTTCTAGACAATTATTTCTCAATAAAAACGTTTGCTCCTTTTCCAACCTCACTCTCCCCCTTCCTATTCCTCTTCCCCGTACCCCGTATGCCGTCCAACGTTTGAAATATTCTCGTTGCGAGACTTAAGTGTCGATAGCTGCAGCATAAAAATAACGACTACTTCAATACTGCTGAAAATCTCATGCATCATAAATTTTTGAAACAGCCTGTGCAAGCAACATTGCTGATTAACAAGCACGATTGAGATGATAGAGTTGTTCGCAAAATTGTTGTAAGGTGCTACAGTTTATGTTACACAGTTACGGATTTACCCGTAACAGATTATTTTATGCAAACATTTTTAGATGGGAGAATCAGGAAGTGTTGCAATACTAAAAAAAAAATATGAAATTATTAACCACTGATAAGGTTATTTTTGTCACTCTAACAGATGAATTTAGACTACAGTCCGGCAACGACTTTACTGTTATCTGAAAAATTTTTTCAATAATTTACTGCCATATGCCACTGCAAATAATCACTCCTAACAAAGTAAACTGGTTGATATTGACGTCAGATGTGATGATGTTTCAGTAACGCTTACACAGCTGCAGAAGTAATAGTAGTAAACGACTAAAAAGTGCCTTTTTCTTGTTTTGTTTTTGTTTTTATTTTTGTTTACTGTTATTTGCAGTTCTAAGTTTAAAAAATTAACACTATATTGCCTGTATAAAACTAGGTTACTGATGCTAGGAAAAGAATTTGCTTATGAATAATAAGTGTATGTAAAGTTACATCTGAAGTAGCTTATTTGTAATAAGTGCTGGAACTGGAGTTAATTGCCTCCTTTGCCTTCTTGGTTGAAAAAAAAGTAAGTATTAAATTTGTTTACCGTTGATTTTACTTAACTGGAATCAGCGAAAATTCTCAGCAAAAAAAAAAAAAAGCTTACTTTTTCAATTTTAGGAGGACATTTTAGACAAAAACTATTTTACTTATTGTTCTCTGAGCCTGTAAAGTTTGGCCAATGTACCTTTAACCACAATCTCCTCACTGCAGCACATAAGTTATTTGTTTGAACATTTTAAAATTTTAAGTATTTGATCGCAGGATTATTTGTACATGAAAAGCTAAACGGATCTTTTGTGCAGAAACCTACGGAAGTTTAAACAAAAAAAAAAAAAAAATACATATATAATACATAAAAAATACATATATATATATATATTTTTTCTGCTTAATAGATTTACCGGTAAAAAACCACGATATACCTACGTGTTTGGAGACAACGAACTGTGTTTTGCACTCAAGGTCTAATTCAAGTTCTTCTGTTCTGAGGAAAATTTTGTAGATCCTCTCAAATTGTAGTGTTGCAATAAATAATATTATTTTAAGAGAACAGATTTCAGTTTGAAAAAAAGTTGGTAAAAGATGAACTGATACTTGCATAAATTTCTGAAATTTTTAAACCTTGTCTTCTGGCTGACAATTCCTATGAAGTTCTTATTTCTAAACGGTCACGGGAAACGTCTGAGTTTAGTTTTCGCAGTTCGTCTACATTGGAGTTTCTGGTAAAAATTTTATTCAAGCGACCAAAAAGTGAACCACGTCAAACACCAAAATGGATGCTAAACAACAGTAAGCGACGCATTAATTCAAAGTGGCTAAAAAATTTTTTTTCTCCGAATACAGAGATGATAATTAAACATTTCACAGGATGTACAATGTATAAGCTTAGCTAAGGCTAGACTAAAACGCATATAAAAGAATGGGCTATTCTTAAAAAGAAATATTGTAAAAAAAACAGTTTTCTGAAAATTACGTATTTATATTGTCACAGCAAAAATAAAAAGGGATAAATTATGACGAAACAATTTGTTTATGGTGAACGATGGTCAAGGAATGTTCTTGCAGAAGTTTATTTCAAAGCTTTTATATTGAATGTTCTGGTGAAAAAAATTTGAAAAAAACTACTGAAATAAAAAAGTCAAAAGTATCAAGCGTAAGGACTATCTGAACTTGGAAGCACTCTAAATTACAGTTCAATAGAAAATAATGATAGACCCAGTTACTGACCCAGTATAAGCAGCACAAGACTAATCTGGTTCTTCTTTCTCTTTCTAAATAACAATTCTTTTTTGAGGAATCTAAACAAGAAAAAAAATTTTTTTTTAATTTGAAACTGTCAGACAGGTGATTTATCAAATAACCGATTCATTGAAAAAATTTAAATTTCCTACCAAATTTAGTCTAGTTAATTGCGCTATGGTTAACAAGAAAAAAAAAAGACATATGGTAATACCAACTGACAACTGCCAATTTTTTTCTTCCGCAAATATTTGTGGTACATTGTCTATTTTTTTTAACTTTTTAAAACTGAAAAACCATATGCAAAGAAAATTTTGTATTAAATAGGCTCATAGATATCATAATGAAAATGTTATTATAGGTTTTGTATATACCCACTTACAGATGCAAAATAAATGCCATTTTCAAAAAACATCAAAAATTATTAACTTACTTAATGTGTCTGATTGACTACGAAGAAATTTTCATCTTTGGTACGCTAAATGAAAAAGCTCTGTTGCAGAATGAAACTGTTTGGTTTCACATTGTTTTTGACGATATCAAATCTGATACCCCGCAAATAATATTAACAGATATAATAACACTAATCTACCAAAAAAGTTGATCAAGTTGATCGCTTTTAACTGTTCTTTTACAGTGTTGTAGTAACGTCTTTTATTTATTTTTTAGTTAGTAAGACAAAGAATTTCAAAAAGCATACTGAATGAGAAAAAATAGAAAAGTAGACGACTTATATGTACAAAAAGTTGGATACTTCTAGTGTTTTTTTTTAAAGATTTAAGAAAAATAGAATTATATCATACAGAACACAGAGTTTAGTTGATCAAATTATTGTTTTCTTTTTTTGTTTTCTTTCACTATTTGACGATCAAAATGAGTCATGACAAATTATTCTTATACGACAAAACTATGTCTGTAATTTTTAATTATGCTATAAATCTGTCAAACAATTATGCTACAAATTCTAAATATTCAATCTAAAAAAAAGATTTTTTTCTTGATTTCTTTGCTGAAAGTGTGTATCCTAAATATACTAGTGCAGAATATAAACGAAGGTACTTTGGCTGGTGGTTATCAATAGCTTACAAGATTTGAATTAAAAAGCTTAAAAAATATGGTTTCTTTTTCAAGTTTTTTACACTTGTTTCAGAATTCAGTTACAAAGAACTGATAAGATACTGGTCTTTAAAACCAAGTGATTATGTGAAGTGTAATATAATAGCTTTACTCATATTTGTTTGGTTACTTTCAATCTGTGCATAGAGTGCTGTTTAGCAAGTCAAAAAAATGCAGTAGAAGTTCATAGTTAATTTAATCTGATTTCATCTGACTCTATATTTCCTAAGCTAAGAAAAAAAAGCAGTTAAGGATTATTTTCAAGAAAAGTTGATTAAAGCTGGAAAAAAAAGAAAAAATTTTCACATGTAAACAACACAAAAATCATTATAGATTAGGATTGATAATGTTGAAAACTTACGAAGCAGAAAATGATCACTATAAGACAGATCATACTTAAATAAACATCAGTGGAGAAATTGCAGAGGACATGAATAATTGAATAAAGTTTTTTTTTTTGTTGCCATTAAGAACCGTTTTCTAAAGAGCTCGCAATCTATTCTTCATGATTTTCTTTATTCAGAACCTGTGGTACAGTTTTGAAACGTTACTGAGCTCAAACTGCAAGAGGCAGAAAGAATACGAGTGGAATAAAATACAAAATATTGAAAAAAAATATTTCTTTAATAAAAGAAGAATGAAGTGTGTATTTTAAATCCCAAAGATTAGTTAGAAATTATTCGTCTTTCTTTTTTTTTTGGTTTAGTTATATTAATAGTTGTTAGCAGAGACCTTTTTGGCAATTGCTTCTTTCTGTGTTTCTCATGTTGTTTACATAAACTCGAAATCGTTATCAGTAAATTGTGTGCATTACTTAGTATTATGCAACCTTCAGTATAAACTACAGGAGAAGATCACCAAATGATTTCTGTACTCTTACTGCTTTAGATGCCTAAGATTACTTGATTTATTGTCTTCAGTCAGCACAGTTTCTGTCGCTAAAATACGGTTACTATTGAAATTTTTAACGACTTATGCTTTGATTTTCGATACAGAGGGCTGTATGTTGTGCTAGCGGTTGCGCTAAACAAGAGCAGTCTAACTGTTTTTGTTATTTCAAATTTCTGCTTGTGTTTTGAAGAAACATTTAGCCATCACTTATTTAAGACTATTTTTGTCTAATTTCAAAAACCATTTGCTTGCAAAGCAGCATTATTTTTAGTAGTTTCTTACCAAATTGTATCTTTAAACGTTTTTGGCGACAAGGTAATTGTAGGTTATCATTTTAGAGCAGATTTACTGTACAAAAATTTATGTAACATATTTTTGTAATTAAAGTTCTATAATAAAGTGTTAAACAGTTGTTAATTACCCATCAAATGTCTGTTATCAGTTGTTATAATCTATTTTTAACAGTTATGTTATTGCTAAAAAAAATCAAATTTTTTTTTTGGTTTTCTTGATATTACTGGAAAATTTTAAAAAAAAGATTTACTTTGGTGTTAACATTAAAATTTTCTACAATTTACTATTATCTGGAATTGTTTGCAGAAAAATCGAATTGAGAAGTATTTTGACCAATAATGATGTTCAAACTTTTTAGCTTAAGCCAAACATGGGTTCATTACTGAGAAGTGAAGAAATGAGCTTGGCTCAAATTTTTTTCCAAGCCGAATCCGCTTATACATGTGTAGCCGAACTTGGTGAACTTGGACTCGCTCAATTTCGAGATGTTTGTTTCCGGCATTATTTTGTTACTGCTCAAACTTTTCTACAACTTTACATTTCTTTTTTTTTCTTTGAAGGGTACTGTCTACACAAAAATTGAGTATTCCAGTGAACTTTATGATTCTCAACATTAAATATTTGCTTTTCTGCACAAAAACTGTTGCTGGCTCAAGGACCACATGCAAAAAAAACCCGAACTCCATACAAATGAGTAGAATGTTACTACGATTTTGTTTCAACACACGTTTTCCAGCTTTCTTCTTTAGTTAAATGGCGATGTAAGCGCTTACCAGAGAAAGTATGTTAATGAAGTTCGCCGTTGTGATGAAATGGACCGGAAACTTCGTAAGAATCATTTCTTGCTGTTATCCTCTGCCGCAAGAACTGTTTAGTTCGTTCATTGATGTTGTGTATTATTGGCAGGTTTTATCGAAGCTGAAATCGAGAAAGACGAAATCGAAATTCCAGATGTGAACGATTATATACCGTTCCCTCTACCCAAGGATATGAATGATCTTGAAGTTTGTCTTGTAAAATAGAAGTCCTAAAGAATTATTTTCTTTGTAATTCTAAGATAGTCAAAATAACTATCATCAACTGTCAATATCCTGTAATCGATGCCTAACTATTATAGTCGGTGAAAATTCAGGCTAAATTTGAACGCCTGGAGGAGGAGCTGTTGGAGATCAATGCGAACACAAATACAATGAGAAAAAACTATAAGGCTGTAGTGGAGATGAGTCAAGTTTTAGATCATGTACAAAAGTTTCTGGATGAGGTTAGGTATTCCAACATTTTCACACAAAATTTATTTCTTATTTTAGGACGTCTCAAGTGAGAGAATAAAGAAGTTAACATTTTTAAATTGTTGGTTTGTAAGATATAATGATAAAAATTAGATTTTTCTCATTCACTTTCTTTTTTTCGCAATGACAATCAGTAACTTTTAATCAATTCATTGCACAGTAATTCGATTACTACTTTTTAAGCCTTATCAGAGGATTAAAAATTGCAGACTGCTTGTTATAAAATCGTAAAAATGCAGTAATCGTAAATGCGTATATTTTAGCTTAGCTTTTTTTTGGAGGGGGGGGGGGGGATATTGTTCAGTTGGTTTAAAAAAACAAATTTTTAGTAATGATAAAGCAGTTATGCACTGTAATTTTGTACAGAATTT